GGGGTTCGGCTCCGAGGATGAGCCCGTCAGAGGGAAACCCAACTGATCGTGCGGTCAGTCACGGCAGCGCTCAGCTGTAACCCGACCCCCTGTGAACAAGCTTTCCCGTAAAGCTGAAGGTATTTCGTATTTGCAGGTTTCCTCTTACGAGACCTGATCTTTGCAAAAAATGGGAGGCTGCTGTTAAAAGGAAAAACTTCAAACCGACCAAGTACAGCAGCATTTGCTCAGAGCACTTCACTCCTGACTGCTTTAAAAGGGAATGCAACAACAAGCTTCTGAAAGAAAATGCCGTGCCCACGATATTTTGTTACACTGAACCTAGCGAAAAGGTAAACCCAAAGCACTCGTAGTTTACAGACACCGGAATGCTGTGTGTTGCGCGTATTCAGGGCCCGAAGTGGCAGAGCAGCGGGGAGAAGACTCTGGTTGTGAAGGATGCCGGCAGAGCGTGTGCAGCTGGAGGCACGTGGTGGGCTTGCGGTGGCCAGCAAGCCGCTGTTCTCATGTAAATGTAGGCTGTCCAAGGCTCTGGAGCTCTTAGAGCACCACAGTGACCTGCAGTAGCTCTGATCTGCTCTTGTGTGCCTATGCAGAAGCTTTGTGCTGAATTAAGTGGAACGGCAGCAGAGCAAGAAGGTACTGCCCTGTAGTTAAGTTGTTAATCTGTATTTTGGTGTATTTGGAGTTTTAGAGAGCCTTCAGTAATACTGGCAAATTGCACTGTAGTCTCCCATGCTTCCTGGTGGCTACTTCCAACACTGAAGAGATGATGGGCCTTAGATCTGAAACTAAACTGTCCTCTCTAAAGGGCTCTGTCCCCTGACTTCATGGAGTTAAAGTGAGGTACAAACAGAGGGGCAGAACAGTAGCTGTACCTGCTACCTGTCTGTGCTGAAACCATCCCTGCCTTGCCTTAAGAGTTACCTTGTGGTCACAAGCCAGACTGGTCCCTGACTTCTGTCTCTGAACTTCTGGCGGCAGTCTTCTGTGAGGTGTTTTGCTGCTAAAGCAACTTACCATAGATGCAAGTCAGTTATGAGTTCTTCCTTCTCGATGTGATAGCTGCAAAACAAGGATGGGAAAAGTTGATTCTTAGCTCCTACAGAGGACATAAAATATTCTATCTCTTGCCATTTTGACGTAGGGGAAGTGGCAAAGGAGAGAATGGGTATGGTAGGTTCAGGAGGTGGAAGACTAATGGGATGATGTGCACACAGGGAAATAGGGACTTTTGCTTGTTTGATTTTTTTTCTCTTTATATGCAATATTAGATTTGATGCAGAAATAAAAAAGGGAATGTGTTTGAAATATGACTGATGATAGAGAAGAGAATATAATCAGAAGGTATTTAAGGAAAGACAGACAATTTCCAGGTAAATATGGCTGTGTTTTTGCTTGGTTACACTTCCCTGTTATTGTGAGACTAACGTTTTCTGTGTTGCGTGTAAAATAGTTACAAAACTTTTTAGAGTCTGAAAGCTGAATGGGTTTATAGGGCGATCTGCAGAAGTGCAGTTGGTGCAGCAGGATTAGCAGTGAGCTGCGGTCCTCATTTCACTGTCATACCTGGACTACAAAGGCACAAAAGAGTGCCTTTTAATGATGGAGAAGGATTTAGTGCTATTCCTGTTTGTCTCACAGCACTTTTAAGCAAACTGCCACATATCTTCAAGAAATAATATCGTAATGAAGAATAACAGTGGCTGTTTTGGAATTGAATCCACAGATTTTGAAATACAGCTTTTTATCTTTTGTACTGTGTAATTTGAAATACTTTTTTTCTTTACTTATGTCTTAGGAGAACCATTTACTGTCTGTAAGGAGTAGTTAGAATTCACTTATGATGTGTCAGTGATACCAACGATCTGTTCTCCGTGACACGTTGTGACACTAGTAACATATTTATAGAGGTAGCATGTGCTGGATAAGCTGCAAACAGAAGTCTCTGTGTGAATTCAGCTGTCCAGCTGATTTTTGCTTGTGCTTCCAACAAGGGTGAGTTTGTCTTTGCCGATTACATCTTTGACTTGTATTTTTATTTTAGTAGAAAAGTTTGAAAGTGATAGCTGATAGGGTCAAACTCTTTAGAATATTATGCGTGGATTAGATAGGCACACTCTTAACAGCAGTTTCTTATAATTGAGAAATAAGTGTGATAGTCAGCTGGTTTTGTGTTTTTAAGTTATTAGTAATATTTGAGTACATATGAAACTTCCCTTCAATACCAGTCACAAAACTGCCTTCTCAGTTACTGTCTGCCAAGTGTTGTAGTTTGTACAAGAGGGATATCTGGACCTCCTGATATCAAGTATTATCTTGTTTGCATGTTAAGTCAAGGAAGGTCAAGTCATGACCTTCAAATCTGGTGAGCTTGATGTTTAGATGATGAACATTGACCCTGTCTTTAGGCTTACATGTGTAGTAATACTGTTGGCAACAGGTGGATAGCTAGAAAATTGGTTCAGTGCCTCTTTTACTGAGAATGTCTTAGGCTTTCTTTTGACAGGCATTATGCAAGCTCTTTTCTTTAAGTAGTGGGGTGGTTTTTAATCATCATGTGCACAGAAGCATTTCTGAATTATACTGCATTCCTTTGGGGCAGAACAAATCTGATTCTCTGCTCAGGCCTCTGCTCGAGTGGTGAGGGATCCATGTTGTTCTGAACCATGCAAGTGAACCTATCAAGAGCAGTATGATAAAGACTGCAGTTTCGTGTGGCATCAAGCCAATCGATATACTGCTGCTGCCAAAAGGGAGAATCGTGCTTCTCCCTTCTCCATCCCATCTGCCAGCCATGCAGTCCTGTTTCTCACTCCTGCCATACACCAGCGCAGGTGTAGGTCATACCTTGTGTTGCGTTGTTTTGATTTTTAATAAAGAACTGAAGATTTTTGCAGTGGTGGTGGAAAAGCAAATAGCTTTCTGTCATCTTAGCAACTTACTGTGTTTGAGGAGAGAGTAAATATGAGGGCTGGAAGGGATGATTTGCTGTTGAAGAGCTGTTTATTTTGGCTCATCATGTCTCTTGAAACCAAACCCTTATGCTGCAGCCTGAAACCCGTGACACAGTCCCTTCCAGTTGTTGAGAAGCAGGCCTTGCTGTGTATACCCCTCTGCTCTGCCCCTTAAGTAGGTGATCCTTATTCCACCTCAGCAGAAGATTATCTGCTTCTGCTGCACTTTGAAGTCAGCCGATAGCTTCAAAGTATATAATGGAAAGATGCAGCAGAAAGAAGGAGGGACTAAGGGGAATAGGACGGCAGTTATGAGTTACTCCTTTTGATGGAACAGCAGCCTGCGTTTTTGCTTCTTAGCTTATCGTGGATATGTATTTGACCTAAGTCTCCAAGTTATAGTAATTGCTATGTTCTTCAGTTCTTGATTATTTGAGGCTTCAAGGACTTGAGTATGAGAGCCATGCAAATGAAGCTGCTTATAAATATCTTCAGTTTTGAAGCCAGACAAAACAGGCCCAGAACTGTTTGTCAATTTTGAAAATACAAGCTTTGAAACTTACTTAATTTCAGTCCTGGTTGTTTATGTTATTCTGGGGCTGTAGGAAGGGAGCTGTGTTTTGAGCAATGTTAAGCATGAAAATGTACTTTTTTTTTTTTCTTCTTGTTCCTAGCCTGAAGAATTTGCAGAACAGCCAGAAGATCCACTACCGCCTCCCCCACTGCCGCCGCCGCCGCCACCACCTCCACCACCAGCAGCTCCAGTATTACCACCATCTCCATCAACTCCTTCTTTTCATCTGTCTCAGATAGATGCCAGATTAGTCGATCCAAGTATTGGATTATTGATGCCTCCTCTCCAGACCCCTAGCAACCTTGCTGTTTTCTGTGATCACAACTATACCGTAGAGGATACAGTTCATCAACGAAAACGAATTCAGCAGCTGGAGGAGCAAGTTGAGAAACTGCGGAAGAAGCTCAAGACAGTGCAGCAGCGATGCCGGCGTCAGGAAAAACAAATTGAAAAACTGAGAGAGGTTGTTCAGTTTCAGAAAGAAAAAGACATATTGGCAGGAAAAGGCTACGTGATTCTACCCAATGACTATTTTGAAGTTGTAGAAGTACCTGCCTAGAAGTCATGAACATCAATTTTAACTTTGCTAGGCCAAGAAATTTAGTTTGAAAACTAAATGCTCTCTAATTCTGTGCACAAGACTCTCCAGAATTCTAAGACAGTAAATATGCAGTCATACAAATGAGATTACAGTTGTTCTTCGTGGTCATTTCAGTTTGATACACTTCGAAAGTGCAAGCATCTCAGAATTAGAATGTGCATTTAGTTTGCAAAATCTGAATTGCTTTACAGAAGGAAAGGATGCAATGGTGAATACATTTAAACCCAGGGTTTTGATTTGTGTTCTTGCTTTGTTTTGTTTTTGGTTTTATGTTTTGTTTGGGTTTGTTTGTTTGTTTGTTTTTTTACAGCGACTGTCTTATGCTTACAGGGATTGGGGAACTGAATCTGGCTGAGAGTGAAGTTGAGGTTGTTATTCACTTAGTTCAAAGCTTTGTCAAGGCATTTAATGTTGGCTTTGGTGATCCCCAGGAAGTAGTTTTCACTGATTTCAGAAGGAGCAGAATTAGGGCAGCTAAGAATACCTGCCAGTGCTGCAGAAAAATAGAGGAAGTTAAGATACACATTTCAGCCTGGGAAAACTTCCAACCTCAGTTTGCTATGCCTTCAAAGCACTGCAAAAAGTCTAATTCCCGGATGCCTTTGGTGAGGTGTGTAAATGAACCTCTTATTTTGGAGTAACCTTTCACCACGTGTGTTGTAAGAGACATGAGGAGAATTTACGGCATAGGTGATGTAGAAGAGGCTTTTGTTTTAAGGGCACTTAAAAACACTCCCAGAGTGCAGTGCTGCACTGAACATATGTGTTACTGGACTGTTGGCTGGATCAAGAAGGCTGTATGCTGTTTTGGAGTGGCTGCTTTTCAAAAGTATCTTGATAATATACAGTCCCCAGTATGTTGCAGTGTGACATTCTTCCTGTACCGGTGGAATGTTGCTCTCGTCCTTGAAATTGTTCTTGACTCTCATCTCAATCGTGTGTAGCTTCAGGAAATTAAGGGGTTTTATCTTATCCAGGCGTCAGGCATTTGTGACATCCACTGCAGTATGCTGTGGGTTTTCCCTTGCTCTCTCAGTGGTCCCTCCCCCTCCTCCCCAAAACGTATCCACCAAAGGGCAGTAACGGAATTAGACTTTGGGAGCTGCTTGGTGCTAGACTGGTTTTTAATATCTCAAATGCTGCTGCCTCTCCTTTAGCCTTATTAAGACTCTTTATAAAAATGAATCTAGCATGACAAAGTAGTGCAGCAGTTTGCACTTACGGTCTGATAATTTATTTAGTCAATGAACTCATTCAAAATCACAGAAAATGGTATCATCCTAACCCTGTTGTAGCCTTCACAGCTGAAATTCCTGGGTATATTAGACACAAGACTAATTAGACTTCTGTCAGTCCGTGTTGAACTTGTCTATAGTGTGGATTCTAGCTCTGATACTAATCAAGGCCTATTCATGATGGCTTTAAAAGCTTCCGTTAATATCCTGTTAGCACAACATTTTGACATGTTTTGAACCAGTCTTTATACTTCTGACCTCACTCATGCCACATGTCTACTTTCCCATTTCATAGACTTAAGATGAACAGAATTGCTGATGCATCCTTTTGTGTACATTTATGATACATGATTAAAAATAAAAAGCAAATGGTGTGTTAGATTTTTAACTACTCTTTTCTCCTCTGTTCCCAGGACTTTGCCAAAACTAGCTTGACATTTTGTGGGTTTTTTTCTAAAGTAGCTCCCTGGTTTAGATGCTGGGTTTTTCTCACAGCGTTCCCAAGTCTTGTTGCTGTTACGCTTTATACTTAAAATAAACTTGAAAATGTTCAAATTCAAAAACTGACAAGGAAAAGACGTTTACACAACTGTTGCTATGCTTTTGGCATGTGTGGCCAGATAGCAGATTGTTTCTGTTTTCTATGCAATAATACCCTCTCTTCTTACTCTCTGGGAATTTAAAGTGTGACTTCCTGAATCAGGGCGGGTTGCTGCAATATCACACCCCTGTGGCTGGGGGGCTCCTGCCATTCCACTCTTCCTCCTGCCATTTTGTTGTGCACTGCTACCACCACCCTTCTTATTTGTGCCAGTTCTGGTGCTGGGTGCATCCTTCCGTGGGCAACTCAGCTCACTAAAGCATCAGGTTTGGTTTGTAGTGGAGAGGCAGAGAAAGATCAGTGGTGTAAGACCTGATACAAGAAAAAGGCAGGGGCAGGAGCTGAGGATGGAGAGAATTAAGTCCTCTCCTCTGGTCACAGTGAGCTGTTGCATTGTGTCAGCTGCTACTGAAAATAAAGGGGTAACTTCATTCTCTTAACACTCAGCACTGTTTCCTTCCACCCTGGCCAATGATCCCTGTCTCCCCATATTGTATGCCGCTGTGCTTGTTGGGCTCGTCCTTTGAGTACTGTAGCTTCACAACCCTCCGGAAGAGCAGCCTAACAGAAGCAAGGTAAATTTAAGGCACACTGATAAATGGCTGGTGCATGAAGTTCTTGTGGGTTTAAGCTTTTCATGATGGTGACTCAAGTAAATGTTCCTCCCAGTGAGAGGTATGATTATTGCTTGTCTTGAGGGTGTCAGTAATAGCAGGTGGAAGGGGGAACTGATGCCTAGTTCCTTTCCTATTATCAAAGGATTTTTCTATGAAGAGATGCAGTCTGTTCTGGCAGTGGTCTTGAGTTTCTTCTGCAGCAACTCTTAGTTTTTAAACCAGCCCTCCCTAACTTCTGATGCAGTATGTTAGGGCTAGGTGTGCACTCGGCTAGGGATGTGAGGACTGTCAGTATCACAGAGCAATGAAGTGAGGGAAAAAAGGCTGGCATGGGAACAACCCATTGCCTTTTAGCAGCTGACTTTTCCTGCACTGCGCCTTACCCAGAGCTGCACTGCAATCTCTCCAATAGCAGTATAGAAAGAGTAGATGAAGGCTGGCTGCTACTGGCCAGATTAAGAAAGGAATTCCAGCTTTTCATGTAAAATTAATAAGCACAGCATGTTCCCCAAGCATTTGTTAATGTTTCCTCTTTTTCTAAAGTGGCATCTGTTACATTCACACCATCAGCTGTAAAAAGGACTGCATCACTTACTGTTTGTGTTGGCCACAACCAGTACCTGCACTTAGCAGCGATTTCCTAAACATCTCAGAAAAAAATGATCTGGAGTTAAAAAGTGGAAGTGGGAATGTAGAACGACGTGATTGTCCTGTTGCACATCAAGTAGCTGACATTTGTTTAAATGTGTGTAGCTTCTACTTCACTGAAGCCAGTTTTATAAAGCAAACAATTCAAGGAATTTAGAAAATACCAGAATTTGGAAAAATGCTCCATCCTTAAAATGTGGACAGAGAGATTTGTTTTGAAACAGGCTGATGCTGCAGCAGGCAGAAATTAGAGCCTCTTCTAAAAAGAGAAATTTTAGCTTACCTCCCCTGTTGCCCCAATTCCCTTTTTGCTGTGGTAGGTTATCTGACCTCTGTGTAGCGTTTACTTTGCTCCTTACACCTCTGCAAAGTGTTGCATCTCACTGTCTAACTGGGACAGTTCAAACCCAGTAGTAGGTTTTATGGGGAAAAATCAACAGCTAAATATTTGGATTACTGCTTATCACACCGAGGGAGTCCTTTGTCACTGCCCTTTTTTCTCCTGTGCTTCCAGTTGGCCTCTTGTCTGTGCTGTTACTAGTGTGGTCTTATTAACAATTATGGCAGCAAATTTATGAAACTGAGTTTTCCAAGAAATCTGTTTTCTTGAGATTTTGTTTTCCTTCAGCTCTACGTGGTGTTTAGGGTATGGGTGTCCTGTGTGAATTTTGAAAAAGTTCTCTAGTAGCTGAGGAAAGTGCAAAGCAAATCCCAGTTTGAATGTAGGAAGAAGGAAAACAAAGTGGTTGTTTGGGTAAAACTGAAACCAGAAGAGTTTCTTAGGTCCATTTCAGAACACTTCCTTGATGCTTTTCTGTGGAGCCAGGCAATTACTCCTAGTTGCCCTTTTGTTTTGTTTCTTTCCCGAGATCTGTTTTAGGTTTTAGCCTATAGGTGTATCTGTTTCCTGTCAGGTTACACCTTCATCAGGTGGCAGGGTGGAAAGGGGCGTATTGAGCTATTATCTAATTTTAACAACCAAAACAATCTGCCAAAGCACGTTGATGCTTACTGTCTATCATGACTGCTGCAAGTTCAGTTCAGTAACTGCTGCTGTTAAAGCATAGCAGATTATTTGCCATATTTTAGCCATGATAATGATTTATTAATAAAGGAGAAAGAGCAAAACAGGATTAAAAAATATAATTTGAAAATATGATTCAAAAGCATGACGACAGTAATCGCTATTATAGATTCCTATTCAGTGCTTTCAATAGAAATTTTATTTTTTTACAGAGTTATTTGGATGGAACTGCAGCATTTTACTGCACAAATTGGGCCTTACAGTGTTATACAGACTGAAGGAGTTTAAAAGTGTGCAAAAATAAAATGTATTGCAATATTTTTGTTTAATCCACTATTCAAAGAGTTCCCAAAGGAAAGCTTTCGTGAGGAACTTAAGTATTCTGAAGTTAAAGAAAACATTTAAATATGTTACTCAGAAGGAATTTTTCAAGAACCTCTCTTGAGTATACGTTACATTGTCATAATTAAATCATTTCAGTAATTAAATCTCTCCAAAGTCCTGCTACTATTAATTCATTTAGCACTCAGTATCAAGCCTTTTATTGTCTGTCATGCAAAATGATTTAGTGATCTTCCTGTAGCTGCCTCCTCCCATTGTACAGGGAAAATGGATTGCCAGGCCTGGGCTCACACATTCCTGGAACCTCTGAAAAAGTGATTGTCTTCTGTGTCTTAATTGGTTCTAGTGGACTATTAAAAGGTCTTTTAGTTAGGGAGAAACATGGGAGAATACAATGAGGCTAGTTGTTTTGGGGTTTGTTTGTTTGGTTTTTCTGGGGCAGGGGGTTAGTTTGGGGTTTTTTGTTTGTTTTTTAGACTCAGGGAGGACTT